GAAGCGTGCAAGCTACGCGGGGAGGGTGGGAGGAGGGGCGGGGAGGGTGGGGGGAGGGGGGGAGTGTGATATTTGGAAATTAGAATTTACCAAAGTAAAATTAAGTCTCGTCTGTGGCTAGATCTATATCTTATCGCAACGAAGTGACACAATGTAGACAATCAGGGGCGGAACTACAGTGCCGCCAGACCCCGCAATGCGGGGGGGCCCAGACCGAATGGGGCCCCAAAAATCCCGGCTAAATTATTTAAAAAAAAAAAATTTAAAATAAAAAATTTAAAAAAAAAAAAAAAAAAAAAAAAAGGTGGAGGTCGAGTTATCTTTCTTCTACAGTTACAAAAAAAAAACACGATAGTCGGCAAACGTCTTTGAAAAAAATGTACAGACTATAGCTCGAGAGACCGCCAGACATATAGACAACTTCAAAGACGCAGGGGCGGAACTACAGTGCCGCCAGACACCGCAATGCGGGGGGAGGGGGGCAGACCGATTGGGGGCCCAAAAATCCTGGCTAAATTATTTTTTAAAAAAAATGTTAAAAAAAAAAATTAAAACAAAAAAAAAAAAATTTTTTTTTTTTAAATTAGGTGGAGGTCGAGTTATCTTTCTTCTACAGTTACAAAAAAACACGATAGTCGGCAAACGTCTTTGAAAAAAATGTACAGAATATAGCTCGAGAGACCGCCAGACATATAGACAACTTCAAAGACGCAGGGGCGGAACTACAGTGCCGCCAGACACCGCAATGCGGGGGAGGGGGGCAGACCGATTGGGGGCCCAAAAATCCTGGCTAAATTATTTTTTAAAAAAAATGTAAAAAAAAAAAATTAAAACAAAAAAAAATTAATTTTTTTTTTTTAAAATTAGGTGGAGGTCGAGTTATCTTTCTTCTACAGTTACAAAAAAACACGATAGTCGGCAAACGTCTTTGAGAAAAATGCACAGACTATAGCTCGAGAGACCGCCAGACATATAGACAACTTCAAAGACGTAGCCTACCTTTTTACTTTTAGTGGCGTCGATTAGGAGAACAAAAAAGGATTGTTATATTGTTTACATTATTAAATATATATATATATATATATATATATATATATATATATATATATATATATATATATATATATATATATATATATATATATATATGATTGTGTGTTTAAACTACTGGCCTGGACTCTACAAAAAATATAATTATTTATTTCGATGTCATACATTTATAATTGCGTTCATTTTTACTTTCTCGTATATACGAAGTATAGAGAAAGTCTTGTAATCGTGCAAAAAAAAAAAATCGAGATTTTTACAAATCTCGACGTTTTACACCTCACTGATACGGAAAAACATAATTTTGCAATCTTGTCCGTATGTCTGTGTGTCTGTCTGTGTGTCTGTGTGTCTGTGTGTCTGTCTGTCCGTGTGTAAACACGATAACTTGAGTACCGTTACAGCTACGTTGATGAAATTTCATATATAAGTATTTTATCAAAATCGTAGATCCGTATCAACTTTTGAGCGATTTCCGATAACCGGAAGTGGTACTTTTCCTACTTTGAATTTTTCAAAAGCCTATAACTTGAGTACTATTTCAGATAGATAAATGAAATTTCAAATGTAAGTAAAAGATCTAATTCTCTACCTTCTGTTAAATTTTGAGTAATTTCCGTTGACTGGAAGTAGTAATTTACGCTACTTCCGATTTCTCAAAAAACTAATGTAAATTTTAAAAGTACTAATAATATTGCGCACCATTATGCGCTTTTTTATTTGGCGTTCACTTGGTGTGCAATTAATTTGTCTACGAGATTTTATTCTATTTTTAAAACTTTAAGTATTTAAAATGGATTAAAAATCATGTCTATAGCCCGAGTTCCCATCCCCTGTTATTTTATATACGAATATTCGAGAAAGTTTAGGGGAGATCACTCCCGGTTTATTACTTTAACAACACTGTATCAATAAACTTGTGAAAGTTTAAGTTATCTCCCTTTAGCGAAGCATCTGAAGTTTTTGCCGGCACGCTTTGAAATCGGGCTGGGGAAATGTTGCGGCGACTATTCTGGTCTTCTAGACGACCGGAAAAAGTCGGCACTATTGATGTAGATGTTTATCGGCACTTTCTTGTCCCCTTCCCTTGAACCTTCCCAACTCTCACCCCTCCCCCCTCACCCCCCTCTCACCCCTGCCCCTCACCTCTACCCCTCACCACACCCTTACTCTTACAATAAGATGTAATGCATAGATTAACGAACCGTCTATGAACTACTGAACTGTAAACTGACCACTTCTGCACATTTTGTTAAAGACACTAGTCAGTGTAGTTGTTCATTTACCTGATGAAGTATTTTGTTGACGAGTCTAATTCACACAACAAGGAAGGTAAGGCTCGTCTTTATATTATTAATTGTTTTATAATTAGTACACGTATTAATTGAACATTAGTTATTAACACTAAATACATTAAAGTTAATCAAATTTAGGATACAATGATCTAGCTTTTAAGGCTAAAAACAACCAAAAGATCTATATCACCTTTGAATGTATTAATGTTTAATTTCATGTTTAGCCCGTAACGGGGAGGGGTTATATTCGGTTATAATATGGGTGGGTCTTTGGCAGTGTTTCTTCCAGACGTTTCTCTTCGGGGGGGGGGGGGGGGGGGGGGCGCTTGAAATTTTCGGAGGGGGGGGAGGCGGGCACTGTTAAAAGTATATATTTTCTATATAAATTATATAAAATTAATTTCTTTCTGGGGGGGGGGGGGGTGACACCATTAAGTGCCGCACCGGGTGACACCCGACCTCGCTACGCCACTGCACCCGATATATATATATATATATATATATATATATATATATATATATATATATATATATATATATATATATATATATATATATATATATATATATATATATACATAGATATATACATATATATATATATATATATATATATATATATATATATATATATATATATATATATATAGATATAGATATATATATATATAGGGGCCTAAAAAAAATTTTTGCGGGGGGGCCATTTTTTTCTAGTTCCGCCACTGTAGACAATACGCATATAGCTTGTGGACCCTAAAACAGTCAGTCAACCCCAAAATAGCCAGACGACCCCAAAACAGCCAGACACACCTAATACTGACAGACGACCCCAAAACAGCCAGGCAACCCTTAAATAGTTACACAACCCCAAAATATCCAGACGAGCCACCAGCCGACCCCACAAGGCTGATGTAAAGCCACACATGAGATGATCGATTGTCTCAAGTTTTCAGTTCCTCGATGTCTTTTTTTTATTGTCTCTCCACCTACTGCAAGATTAAACATTGGCACGCATTGTCATGGCAACACGGGGCGTCTTCACTCGCTCACAACACGATCTTCACAATGGAACACACTAGACGGTGAGGGGTGGGGGTGGGAGGAGACGCAATCAAATATTATAGTCATTACAATACACATACAATACACTTACACGCATATATATATATATATATATATATATATATATATATATATATATATATATATATATATATATATATATATATATATATATATATAATATGTGTGTGTGTTTATACCAATTACATGTAGCTTATATATTTATATTTGAACTTAATATATAACAACTATGTAAATCTTAGTTACAGTTGAGCTCACAAGATAGTATAAACAAGGGAGGGCGTCAATTTTGGCTTCATGGCAGATTTAGGTTTTCGTCCCCACCTCCATCCCTCTCTCTCTCGTGTATTATGCTAACACGACCTAACACATTAAAAGTCGCTAACATAACTCACCACTCCGTGGGCCCCCCCCCCCCCCCACCACCACCAATAAGAGTACTGGACTGATTGTTACTTTTGTGTCAGCTATAAAGAGAAACGCGACGCCTGTTGGTTTTATGGGTAAATTAATCCTGGTGTAATTAGAGATAATCACGTAAATTAATCCGCGTGTAGTTCGAGTTAATCACAACCGTATCAAGTAACCAGACAAGCAAGGCGACTTTTTGTCCAAAAACATTTTGTCAAGTTCAACAGTACAAGCTAGAAATAGTCGACTAAAAAAGCTAGACTACCAATTAAAATATAAGTTTAGTAACCCTATTTATTTTAGACAGATGTTAAAAGTTTGTTTTTTTAAAAAACCAAAAAAAACAGTAATGAAACAAATTAGTAAATAAGCACCGTTGTTTGGTGAAAAGATGAGAGGGTGGGGGGGGGGGGGGGTTGTCGTGAGGAAATATAGCTGTTTATTAAACCAGTTCATGAAACTACTATTCATAATAATGAACTTTTTTAATGTTCACTGCAGGCCATAAAAAATGAGAAATGAAATCTGAAATTTGTGAGCACTAACATTACCTTAAGCCTGTCTAAGCCGTGTCAATCCGATGGAACACATTGAATGACGCTCGATTGGGCAAATCAACAGTCAGACGGCTGTTGCCTGTGTGTTTTGTCACTTGCTGCGTGACACGCCCCTGTCATACACGGTGATGGTCCGTTATCAGTCAGATGTGTGTATGTGTGCTGGTCGTGTGTCGCACTATCCCAGCATGTGTCGTACTATCCCAGCATGTGTCGCACACAATGTGTCGTACTATCCCAGTATGTGTCGTACTATCCCAGTATGTGTCGTACTATCCCAGTATGTGTCGTACTATCCCAGCATGTGTCGTACTATCCCAGTATGTGTCGTACTATCCCAGTATGTGTCGTACTATCCCAGTATGTGTCGTACTATCCCAGCATATGTCGCACACAGTGTGTCGTACTATCCCAGCGAGTATCCAACACAGTGTTTCGTTCTATCTCAGTATGTGTCGTATTATCCCAGAATATCTCACTCAAGGTGCATTTATTATCCCATTTTGTATTCTACACAGTCATGTTATCCCAGAAATTATCCTATATGAAATGGATTATCCTTTCATGAAGATTTATCCTACAACTATGAAGTATTTCCGAGACGTACCTTGTGTGTCATACTATCCGAAGGTGTCGATGTATCCTAGGAATTCTCCAATTATCCTTGTATGTAGAGGATCGTAGGCCTATCATACACAGTGCATTGTATTTATAGCATGTATCCAGCACGATATTTCCCTATATAGTATAGGCCTAGATTATATCCTGTCTGTCATGTGTCTAACATGAATTATCCCAGCATGAATTATCCCAGCATGAATTATCCCAACATGTGTTATCCCAGCGTGTACACTCGGCGTGCTGCGGACACAAGCACGGAGCTGTAACACGTCTATCGAGACAGACCGGTGTTGACGCTTGGTGTTGATTTCACACAGCGATGCACAGGTGTTCCGTTTAGTAAACAACCGCCCCTCTCCCCCTGGCGCGTGGTGGAAGCTTCGCTGGTTACCTAACTCGCCACTGTTGGACCGTTCACTTCTGCTGACAGCCCGGGGGGAAGTGTCCAAAGTTAATGACCTCCCTTACGGTTAGTGAACATATTTAATTGTGCCACTGGTATGGCCGAGTTCACTGGCCCCAGCGGTTTATGTAACAAGGGAGTTAACAAGCGGTGGGACAAACGACAAAGGGAAATAACTAAACTTTTAGTCATAAAATAATTGGTGTGTAAGTCTATGTTTTAAAAATAAGTAACAGAAGCTGCATATTATTATATACAACTTGTACAATTACTACAGTATTTTAAAAAATATAACAAATAATTGATTATTTATTATACAATTTTAAATCATTAATATTCATAATCATTCTACCTACATCGCTAATACGTACTTGCACAACTAAATCGAACATTGGAACCATATACGTGATTCTCTGAGTGTGAACAGAATGATTTGTTTTGATGAAATTTTTGTAATAGCAAAAGCGGTGAGACCGTCGCAACAATCACCGTCGGGAAGAAGAATGCGGTGTTCCACCAAGCGAAAATGTGTGCTGTAATTTATGGACGGTCCCAGTGTCTCGCGAAAGTAGCAACGCCCTTCCAGAGTTACCGTCCTTGCCCCTAACATTTTTTGTGTCACACATGATGCGAGTTGCGTGAATTTGTTAGGGTTTAATTTCACTGGTAAGGTCACGGTTTTATGGTGGGTATGATTTATCATCTTTAGGGTTGGAGGCATAAGTAAGTCTGACATTATATCTATGTAGGCGCCAGATAAAAGCGGCGCATACTTGATTTTAGGTTAGAGGTAGTCCATAAATGACGTCACACTATTCAGGGAGGCGAGAGATGGGGGGGGGGGGGGAGGGGGTAGAGAAACCGGGATGTAGAATACATTTTGTGATTTAGTAAAGAACCAAAATGATGTAAACATGATACATTTCGTTTGTTTTATGTAATGTGGTAGGGGGAGGAAAGAACCTTGTGGTCCCACTTTATGTTTGTATGGCTTTTTTGTTACGTGTTGGCAGGGGGGAGGGGGGCAGGTATACGTCGGCTTGACGAGTGTGACTTCATTTAACTGATATATATATATAGGCCTATATATATATATATATATATATATATATATATATATATATATATATATATATATATATAATACAGCAGTGAAATATGACAATTACAATTTACAATTAAGACAATAATTAGTAGAACTATTTTTTTACTATTTAATTGATAGAAGTTAACATATGTGTTGTTAAGTTGAGGGTAAATTAGGGACACAAGAGTCTGTAGGTTACAGTTGTATAGTATAGATAAAGACACAAAACATGCATATACCATTTGGTTCAAATAGTTTTACAAAACTGAACTTTTTAAAAAAAATACCAGTTCCTCTTTCATTAAAAACATTTTTAAAATGTTCTTTTTAAAATATTCAACAGCCATCTTGGGTTTCATACATAGAATAGAAGAATGTCAGAAACCTCACTGAAAGGATTAAAATAGGGAGGTAACTGGGGTGTAAGTTTACAGGGAGATAACCTTCATTTGACAGTCGAGGGTGAGGAATGAGCATATGAAACCAAACAATAGAGTATTCTGTGTCAAAGAATGGAATTCTTGTCACGCGAGAGAAGAAAAAACTGTTAGGGTCAGAGAGTAAACAAAGTAGTAGAGGGTATGTTTACATGCCGTGACGTCATCTAGTGGGTCACATGATACGTCACGTGTAGGTCAAACAGCCAGAATTTAGACAGACATGTTAGTGGTGTCTGATGTGTTTGATTTAGCGTGGTAGAATTGGGATAGATTGTACGGAGTTTTACACACAGTTGTGGACATGGTTTTAATGGTCGTAGAGGTAGGTGTAGTATAGAGAATGGTCGTAGAGGTAGGTGTAGTATAGATAATGGTCGTAGAGGTAGGTGTAGTATAGAGAATGGTCGTAGAGGTAGGTGTGCTATAGAGAATGGTCGTAGAGGTAGGTGTAGTATAGAGAATGGTCGTAGAGGTAGGTGTAGTATAGAGAATGGTCGTAGAGGTAGGTGTAGTATAGAGAATGGTCGTAGAGGTAGGTGTAGTATAGAGAATGGTCGTAGAGGTAGGTGTAGAATAGAGAATGGTCGTAGAGGTAGGTGTAGTATAGATAATGGTCGTAGAGGTAGGTGTAGAATAGAGAATGGTCGTAGAGGTAGGTGTAGTATAGAGAATGGTCGTAGAGGTAGGTGTAGTATAGAGAATGGTCGTAGAGGTAGGTGTAGTATAGAGAATGGTCGTAGAGGTAGGTGTAGAATAGAGAATGGTCGTAGAGGTAGGTGTAGTATAGATAATGGTCGTAGAGGTAGGTGTAGAATAGAGAATGGTCGTAGAGGTAGGTGTAGTATAGAGAATGGTCGTAGAGGTAGGTGTAGTATAGAGAATGGTCGTAGAGGTAGGTGTGGTATAGAGAATGGTCGTAGAGGTAGGTGTAGTATAGAGAATGGTCGTAGAGGTAGGTGTAGAATAGATAATGGTCGTAGAGGTAGGTGTAGTATAGAGAATGGTCGTAGAGGTAGGTGTAGTATATAGGAATGATCAGAGATTGGTCGTTATTTTTTTTTATAGAAGTTGTAGAGAGTGCATATAGATAGCGCACATACAGGGGTCCTACAGATAGGGGACGCGTATATGGATCTAGGGGTCGTACAAGGAATGGTCGCACATAAAAAGGTCGCACTGATAAGCGTCACACATGTAGGAATCGCTCAAATATGGTTTCTATAGACTGGGGTCCTGCTGATAAGGGTCACACATTTAGGAATCGCTACCATATGGGTTGCACATGTAAGGGTCACGCAAATATTGGTGCGCACGAATAACACGCACAGTATTAGCAATACGGGAGAAAACACCGTCACATAAAAACTGGTGTCTGTTACACGGTTTGGGGTTAATCCATTTATGACGTCCATACGGGGGGGGGGGGGGGGAGGGGGTCCGAAAAAAGTTGACTTTTGCGGACTTGTGGATTTGTGTGGACAGGGAGGGGGGGGGGGCAAAATCCAAAAAAAATTGTGGACGTCATAAGTGGATGACCCTTTACCTACTGCCATGTAGTAATACATGAAACAATTGCCCAACACACTACACACCTTTCTACACCAGTTGTAGGTTCATAGATAAACTGCTGTTACTCCCACCCTTTAAAAACTACGGCACTTTGTTCATTGATATCTGCTCACAAAGGCAAGTGCTCCCTAACAGCACTCTGGGAACAGCACCCACAAGACTGAGACTAATCAGGTGGCCAAGATCCATTAGGTGGCCGTAACACGTCAGGAGGCCAAGACCTATCAGTTGGACACGATACATCAAATGGCCGCAACCTGTATGATGGCCGCAAACCGTCAAATGGCCACAAACCGATCATATGGCCGAGATCCACCAACTCTTGTATCATTCTCACCCTTTGAACCACCACGTGATAGGTGTAAGATTCTCGTCTGCGACACCATGGTGCAGACGACAACCTTGAAAGGAAGTTATCGGCAGATCTGGCGTGACTCACCTCAATGACTTGCTGTCATTCAGAATGGTATGAAGGAGGGGGGGGATACGGTTGGTACAAAAGTGTACATCAGCAACACTGCTGCTAATATGAGATGCCGGCATGAAAGGGTTAATAGAATGTTACGATCTATTAAAATATAGGACTAAAAAATGTTAAAAATAGGGCTAGAAAATATTAAAATATAGGGCTAGAAAATGTTAAAAATAGGGCTAGAAAATATTAAAATATAGGGCTAGAAAATGTTAAAAATAGGGCTAGAAAATATTAAAATATAGGGCTAGACTAGAAAATGTTAAAAATAGGGCTAGAAAATATTAAAATATAGGGCTAGAAAATATTAAAATATAGGGCTAGAAAATATTAAAATATAGGGCTAGAAAATATTAAAATATAGGGCTAGAAAGGTTGAAATATGTGGCTACAAAAGGTTAAAATAAAATAGCTACTATTTTACGGCTGGTTAAAAAAAACTGTTTATAAGTTGGGCTACATGCATGCACACTTTTTAAAAGTATGACCTCTCTAGCTTGAATGTTTAGAATGTATAATACATTGTATTTCTCGCTAGTCAATGTTTACCAAATATGGAAAAACTTTGGCCTGGCGAAAGGATCTGCATTTATCAACGGTTTAGGATCTTGTGAATGCTGAGCCGAGCCATTTATCAGGGCTTGGCTGGGATATTGGGTGGGGGAAATTCTTCACACACGGGCGGGGGTAGGTGGGAGGAATGATTTCAGGTGCGGTCTACAACTTCAGATGTAAATAGATGTAACTTGAACTAAACAATAATGGGCCCCTTCACGGAATACGATTTACTCATACAATAACCGACCCCTTCACGGAATACGATTTACTCATACAAAATGTATGTTAAAATAAATTAAAAAACAGCGGGTTGGTGGAGAATGTCCTCAGCATCACAAACACCGACCAACATTTTTTACTTGTAACCTACACAAATAACTTAAAATTATGGATTGATATACATATGCAATGAAGGGGGGCAAGTAAATATGTATAAGGGAGGGGCACGTAAATATGTGACCCATACAAAGTGAAACAAGGAAGTTGTGGAGATACGTGACGTCTTAAATGATTATGTCGGTGTGGCTAATTAACACTAGTCCTGTCAGCAGTGTGCTTGTGTGTTACTACAGGGTCAGGACATTTACATCAAGAGATGGCTGGAAGAGGGGGGGGTCGGATGAGGTTCTGAATTATGTGGTGAGATGAGGGGGGGGGGGGTCTGAATTATCTGGCTGGATTAGGGGGGGGTCTGAATTATGTGGTGAGATGAAGGGGGGTCTGAATTATCTGGCTGGATGAGGGGGGGGGTCTGAATTATGTGGTGAGATGAAGGGGGGTCTGGGTTATATGGTGGGAGGAGGGGGCAGAATTTTAGGGTAGGAAGTGGGGGGGGCAGGATTTTGGGGTGGGAAGAGGTGGTGGGTCTAAATTCTATGGTGAGATGAGGGGGTAGAGTTTTAGGGTGCGAAGATATGGTCAAACATTGGG